GAACTTTTTAGAGATAATTATTTTACATCTGTTTAACCTATAATAGTTTCAGAATTTGGTAATCAATGTGATCCTAATAACAGATGTACAAAATGGGAAACAATGATAGTCTCAGCTTCTGCAGAGACGTTGCCCTCTCTGTCTCTGGGCTTACATCCTTCACACAATGATCTTTTGGATCAAAGGTATAATAATAACAATAATCAACCTGGATAAGGCTTTGTTGTTCAAGGTGCTGTTCATGTATATTTACTTTTTTTTTTGACATAGTTAGTATTATTATTTCTGTTTTATAGATGAGAAATCAAGGCACATAGAGGGTTAGATCCCCAGGCTGGTCAGAGAGGGATCTGGGATTTAACCCAGGCACCCTGGCTCTGGGGTCTGTGTCATTCACTTTGGTGCTGTACTTGCTTTAGATCGAGCCTGTTACTGCCATGCTCCCCTTGCCTCCCCTTCCCTTATTTACCTTACCTTCCCAGAGGCATTTGGATTATAACACTTGCTCAACACTTTTACATCTTGGTTTCTGACCCTTTTGCTTGCTACCCATGCTTCATCTTCCATTAAGACAGAATTCATTTAGATGCCTTACTGGATTTCATCCCAGAAAGAACAGACAGAAGAAATGCCTTCCTTCTCTGTGCTTGTGCAACCCTTTATGTAGGCCTCTTTTAGTGCTCATATTGCTAGCTAACTAACAGCAGCTATTCATTTACAAGTCTTGTTTCTCCTCTGTTTCCCTAAGCTCCAGAAGATTGTCTCTTTCTCTTGCTTAAGATTCCCTGCCTATAGAATATATTCCCTAATTTAGATGTATGAATGAACAGAGAACAATGCCATTCACAAACAAAACAAATAACATGTATTAATAAGCAGAGTATAGTTTCTGCTTGGTTTCCTTTGATGCTTGCTTGTCTTTTGATTCTCAGCCATCATACCTGGGTAGCGAACCAGTGGCCCACCTGTTTTCCTGTGTCTGGTTCCACTGAGGGGCAGTGAGTATCCTTCATCCCTCTACCTCTTCAGGCAGAATTCCCCTCCTAGATCCTGGAATGGTTATGGAGGCAAGTTTGACACCATCCTAGAATACTTCGGTTAGCTAAGACTGTCAGTTCTCAACCTGTGGGCTTTTAACACTTGGCTTGCTTTTTTGTGCTACTGGAGTTTTCCAGCTACTTCTAAAGAGATTTCAGGAAACTATTATTTCGAGAATGTTTCTTGGGTGGATCTGAATCTCTTTTCACAAACTCAAGGATGCAGGAAACCTTATTTGATCTATGTTTTGAGCCTTCATTCTTTAGGTAGAAGTTTATCCCAGTGAATTTAGGCACTCCTCTCCATTGCTGTTTACCTGAGATTTTGGAGGGTCTTATACAACGTTGAAGCATAACGAGGTGGAAAAGCCATCTTGGCAGTCATCCTCAGCACACATCATTGTTCTACCATTGTAGGCATTCATATTTGAGCCCTGTAAGCTGCCCTCAAATATCCTTTGTTCTTGTCTGTAAGACCCCTTCAGGTTCATTAGTGCTCCCTTCTGTTCCTCTTGGACCCTTGAGAACAAATAATAGGCTGTGGGTAATGGATAGGTTGCCTCAGGTCCATCTGCACGATACCCATGCAGCCCTTGCTTCTTGTACACTTTAGTGGAGAATGGGACCATTCTGTCACTCCTGGGCAACTCTCTGAAGCCCTTTGAGGCACCACCATCCTAGACATACCTTGCAGCCATTCTTCCCTAGGTTCTTGCCTCTGACTGTGGTTCTCTCTGGGCATGGGGCACATATCTACTCCTCTGAAATCCCACAGACATACCTGAGGTTGCTGCATCCTAGGATTCTTTTTTTCCTAGATCTCAGATATCAGCCCATACTGTCCCCATTTCATCTCCAGCACATTTTCCTCCCCTCCCCCACCACCTAGTTTGGCAAATCATTTTCCGTTCTACCCATTCTAGGAGTCTTCTTATCCATCATGTAATCCTCTAAATCATCTTTTTTCTTTTAATTCTCCAAAGCATATAGGCTTTAGGAGAAAAATAAAACATGAAGACACTCCTATTTCTTTGCTATTTGTTATCATATCCCTTCCCTAAAGTAACAGCTACAAAAAGGCTCAGCTACTCAATTTATTTGCTGGGCAGTAGTGATGGGAGGGGAGTAGTGAGAAGAACTAAAGGAAGCATTAGATATTGGAGAAAAAGGTTAGATAATATTTACAATTTTATCATGCCACATATTATCACACAGACATGTGAAAGTCATCCCATACTGGACAGGACTCAGAGCAGCTTCCCAGGCCTACATGTTCTAAGTCAGAATCTTTAGAGCAATTCTGTAGTTCCTATAGCTCCTCAGGAGCTTAGAACATGTAGGCCTGGGCAGCTGCTCTGAGTCCTGTCAAGTATGGGCTGACTTCTGTGCTGGGTACCTAGTCTTTAAGCTTTTCTTCTCTCTTCTTCGCATGGAGGATACAGTATCTAACTCAGAAACATATAGCCAGAATTCAATAACCTACCCTAGCCCTGTGGGCACTCAGACTGATAACTGTGATAAGAAGTGGTTAATGACAGGTTACTGTTTGATTCTCTCCATTTTCAAATTTTGAAACAATCTCAATATTGT